ACAAAGTCCTTCCATTAAGCCACTAGGATTGTGTCACCTCTGTCTTTGCATTGCAGCTGACAATGGTGCTTGAGGATGATGAAAGCGAGGAGAACAAAGCCAACAGTATAATTTAACGGGACTGAGATAGGAGGCTGGGGAGGAGAATGAAGAAGCACAAATATTGCAAGACTATAGCCCCAATAAAACTAGCCTCTCTGCACATTTGTATTTGACAAAAATACCTTTTCCCCCTTTGCTAAAGCCATGGCTGACGGGGGTCACCCTTCTGTAGCCTTCAGTGACACCTGAAAACGGATAAAATCCCTATACTGAGACCAGTAGTCATTTATATTCAATTGGATTTTTTATTAGTGTTTGTTTCTGCTGCCTTGACATAATCCTGATTAGCTTTTCCTAGCCCTGTAGACTGCTACCACTACAGTTATAAGCTGGAGTTAAAGGTGAACTTTCCTCCTCCTTTAAGCGTGCTGAGTATAGATTACTGTTTTTAAATACAATTTTCTGACTTTTTCCATGCAACATTCTCACTGTTGAGAATATTTGTAAAGCTAAGAGAATATTTTGGCAAGGACTAAAATCTCCAGTGAATTTAACTCCCTTTTATGCTCATAAAATATCCATACCTACCTACCCACCTCCCTGGTCATCCAGCCTTGGAATCATTCCCAATTCTATGTCCTCTACACCTCTGGCACCAGCAGCTGAAATCACCAGTTGCCCGCCTGGAAAATAGCTCTCCAGCACCACCTTCTGACTTTCTGGCCCCTATAGGACAATCACCAGAGGCTGTGCAACCTTCCACAGAGGTGAGGGAGGGGATCACAGGTTAGGCAGGAGGGCACCCCAAGGGGGATATGGGACCTGATCATAAGCTGAGACGGAGGATGATTTGTTGCTTTTCAGGGGACCCCTCCCCAACCACAATTCAGGGCCTACCCTGTTTAAGTACAACGGAATAAAAAGGAGAGACATCAAATGCGGCTGATTCATTAGCACTGATGGGCCTTGACATAGTATTGAATTGAATGCTGATGGCAAAGGTTAATAATGTCCTCTAGATTCTAGATATACTTAATGGCCTCTTTGATTTATTCCCATCATGTGCTATGATTTTTCCGGCTGATGAGAGGTTTCCATTAATGAATGTGTGAGTGAAGTAACGGTGAAATTATCCACTTCTGTTCCTGCATTTTTCTCCTTATACAAATAACTTCCGGCAGAAATCTTTTTATCTCGTCTTCCTCCTTTAAGATTGCATCCGAGGGTTTAGGCTGGAGGGAGAAAAGCTTGTGCTTAATTACTGTCACTTAGCACTGGTCTGGCAGGTTTCCCCAGAAAATGCAGGTTTGTTGAAACTGAAACATTTTGTGGGAACATGTCAATTTCAACAGAATGTTTGATGGAAAAGGTTTGAAATAAAAATGGAGTCTTTCCTTTCAATGCATATGCTGTTCTATTAACATACATGTCAATGGTCTCTGTTGTAATGGTTTGCCATTACTGAAACAAAATGTTTCCGAATCGAAATAGTCCAAGATTTCATCCCAGTTCTGGACAAAACAAATTGCAAAGGGGGATTGACAGCAGAATGGAAATTCCATTTTCTGACCAGCTCCACTCACCCCATTCACTTCCCACTCCTGTCCTGGGAGCCACTGCTATCATCTGATAGCTCAGCTGGGGTGGCACCTGTCTGGGACATCAGGGGAGATACCCGTGCTGTGCCTGGAGAGGGAATTAGCAGTACTAGGCTCAAGTATGAAGATGCATAGGTACCATACTGAACCCATCACTGCTAGTCTCTGGATGGCTCCTTCCCCCAGGGCTGTTCTTAATTACACTATAATGTCAACTCTGTGTAGCTGATTTTGGGGGGCTCTCAATAAAACACAGGAATTCTGCTTGTGCCACCTGCCGTTTCTCCTGCTAGAAGCCACTGCGCTGCCTTGCAGTACCAAGGCAGAGCTTCAGAAATGGCCCCTCTCTCCAAGCTTGGTAGCACTCACTCTCCACTGCAGGCTGGGAAGGGACAGCTCACAGGAGTAAGGGTCCAGAGGAAGTCCCCTCCCTTGCAGACTGGAGACAGGGGCAGCTGCTGGAGCCCACCAGGGAAGTGGGGAGACTGGGATCATGGGGGGGCTCTTGGAACCTGCCAGGGGATTTGGGCTCTGGGTGACTGGGTGCAGGAATGGGGATCTCTGGGAGTCTGCCAGACGGAGTGGGGAACCTAGTGGGGTCAGACCCAAACCCAGGATTTATTCTTTGGCCTAAATATCAGGAGTGGTTTTTTTTCTTCTTAATTTCATGATCTTGGAGGTTCTGACTCATGACTGTGGAAATGCTGGGATTGGCAGTGCTGATTACCTTGCCCTAATAGAAGTGGCTTGGAGCTGAGACTCCGGAGGAGGAAGAAGAAAATATGAAAGCAATCATCCAAAATATCTTGATCAGCTCACTGCTTCCTTTTTAAGATGGAGGAGGGGATTTACCTAGATACTGAGCCCTGATTGCCTGCGACATTTCACTGGAGCAAACAGAGCCATTTGCTTTACTGGAGTGCGAGAATGGACTGAAAATAGCAAACTTCCATTGAAAAAAATCATCTAACTTTACAATGTCCAGAATTATTATTATTATTATTATTATTATTGTTGTTATTATTATTATTATTTTATTTATTTGTTATTATCTGATTCTGAATTGGCACCTGTGAGAAATGTATTTTTAGGGTCAGACTTCCTCTGATTGCTCTCCTCTCAGAGCAAATGCTTACAGTTGAGTTACTCGGTTTTATATAGGAAGTGTATAAGAGACACTTCACCGCTGGCAGGCACCTGGTTACCCCTGGGTTATAAACCCCAGGGTTAAAATGGGGTTAGGTTTATTATACAAGAGCCCAGAGCGTGTGCACGCAGAGCTCTTGTTCCAACAACTGTTTGCTTCTCTGCACTGCACACTGGCCCTTCATTTCAGCAGCTTCCTTGATAAGGAATGCTGCGGAGAAATAAAATGAAATTACAGGTTAGTGAAATGCTGCTCTACAGAGACACAGTCCTGGACTGCAGCTGAACCTCCCACTGACGTCAAGGAATTCAAGAAAGGACCCTAGGTTTGCATTGCATAGACTGGAGTTCCAAGCCCTGTGCCCACAAACTTGTTAGAACTTCCCCCAAGACCCCTGATTGCTGCTAGAACAGTATGAATTCAGAACAGGGAAGCACTTATTTCGTAATAAACACGGTTGGGCTTGGTCTGCAAACATTTTTCCAATGGCGTTAGCTTCTTTCTCCCCAGATCCATTTTTTAAGCACAGTTTTCTTGGAAGACTGTGGACATGGTGTACAGACAGAGCCTTAAACTACTGGGATTTAAAAAGTAATAGATAACAGGGTCTCTAAACAGAGGGAGAGATGTGCTTAATTACTGGCAGGTGGTTAGAATGGCCTTTGCTACTGCTCCCAACATTGCAATCTCCAGTTCAGCTCTGTGTGTAGGAATGATGTTTGGAAACTCGGGGCAACCCCTCCCCGCCCAAATCCTAGGCCCTGATCGTGCAAAGACTTACACTCATGTTTAACTTGACATTTGCAAATAGCCCCACTGACTTCAGTGACATCGCACATGAAGCTAAGCACGTGCATCGGTGGTTGTAGGCTCAGAGCCCGCATGTAGATAACAGTTTCATGGTTTCTGAAAAACAAAAAAAGTTCCATTTCTGAAAACCAGAACATTTCCGCTTGGCAAAGCTGCCGCGGTGGCTCATGGAAATTGCCTTGTGCCTCCATTTTTCTCTGTAAGATGGGCTCCCTGGTTGGACAATGTCCGAGGTGAAGGGTGGGGCCAGTAGAGGTCCCCAAGCCAAAGTCAGGGTTGGTGCTGGTTGAGGTTCTTTGGGTAGGGTTGGGTCCCCCAGGGCTCACTGGACAAGGGTTAAAGCTGGGGCCGGTACGGGTCCTTGGGATGGGACCAGTAGGGGGCCCTAGGTTATGGACCGGACCGGAGGGTTAGGGACGGGTCTAGTAGGGCTCTCTGGGTTAGGGACAGTGGTTGGCTGGCAGGGGGCCTGTACTCAGACTAGGCTGAGTGTGGAGTATGGTTAGGGTTGGGCTCTGTTGTGGTCCCTGGCTATGTTTAGGGTAGGGGCCACTGGGGCTATTTGGCCAAGGTAGTGGTGGAGGTGCTGTTGATACTGGGGCTGGGGCCAGTAGGGCTCCCCAGTCGAGAGTTACATTTGAGGTCAGTCGGTGGCTCCAAGCTAAGGTTATGGTATGGCTGAATACGTGGCTCCAGGCAAGGGTTTGAGATGGCTGGTGGTTCCAGGCTACTGACAGGGCTGAGGTCTGATTGTTGCCCTGGTCATGTGGCATCAGTCGCTGGCCTCAGTCTGGGGTTGTAGTTTGGAACAGTTGGTCAACCTTTGTCAGGGTTTTGGTTGGGTCCCCTTGGTAGCCTCAGCCTAGTATCATGGTTGGGGTCGGCAGGTTTCCTCACACTACACTTAGGGTAGGGGCTGGTTGGTGGCCCCTTCGGGTGCGATTTGGAGCTGGTGGATGATCCTGGTCTAGCATTACTGTTGGGAGTGGTGCGGTTAGGGGTTGGGGTTGGGCAGGTTTGACATCTCTGGCTCATGTTAATAGGATGTCATATTTATTAATCTCCGTGTAAAAATTTGGAAAGTGCTGAGGGGGTCTAATCGCGTTTTAAAAAGTGCCTTAAACACTTATGGGCATAAGTCCCATTGATCTGGATGGATCTTATGCCATCATGAGACTGGTTTATAACCAATATTAATAAAAGCAGTGGGATGCAGGTTTTCGCAGTATCCCGGTGCTTTCCCGGGGCCAGTATCACTGATTCGCAGCTGAATTCAGAGTACCCAGGAAAACACAGTAAAAGCTAGAAACCTACATGCCAGAAATACTCAGTTCTTGTTTTTATTACAGAGGCATTTGTGAAATATTTCCCCCCTTCCAGCCGCTTGCAGGATTCCTTTGTTGCATAGATCAGAAGAAACTATTCACTCCTCATTTCACTTCATAGCACCTTGTCAAGGAACTGCGGAAACTTCCAAGTCTGTAAACCCTGTACATCTTTCTAGATCTGGAGGGAGAGAATAGAGGCTTTGTGCCGTGAAGAGAATGGGCTTTCTGATAGGGAAGGGGGTTTAGTTTCCAGCACATCTGAGGATTAACTGCCAGTGTTTTGCACAGCCATGCTATTTTGTACCAGGCGGCTGGATGATTGGTTTTCACACACACACACCCCCAGGCTCGATGGGGAAGAAATATTTTGTTTCGATCTTCCTATCTGCCTCCCTCGCGGTGCACCGCCCCGCTTGCCGAGCACTCATCGATGGTGAACCGACCGGGCTTCCCTAATCATAGGCAAATTAGCGGATGACCTGTCCGACCGTCCCCTCGCAGGACGCTACCACAAAGGTCCTGTCCTTCCAACCGGCGCCTCCCCGCCCAGGTGGAACCGTGGGCGGAAGGGAAGTGGGTGTATCTCTTCCCTGCTGCAGGGGACTAATGCCTGGGAGCCCGGAGAATACCTGGGGCTCGGTTTTGCAGCTGTTGCCCTGAGGGGGTCAGTCGGGGGCAGCGGCGCACGAGAGAGGCGAGAGGGGGCTGCTCAGCTGGAAACGGAGCAGCTTTCCCTTGTCCGCCCGGATCAAGCTCAGAGCCAGGATTAAACCAGCCGCGGCGGCGGCACGTGTGGCCGAGTGAAACCCACCAGCGCCCCGCAGAGCGCGCCAGGGAAGGGAGCGCACAGCCGCAAAGGAGACCCGCCAGACGCAGCGGGCCTGGGGGTGACCATTGCACCGCTCCCCCGATCCCCTCCAGCCCGGGGGGACCCCGGAGCAGAGAACCCAGGCGCCCGAGGGGAAGAGACCCGGCCGGGCGGCCCCCTGACCTCTCCGGATCCTGCGACCAGCTGTTGACGGACTTGCAAGCGCAGGGGGAGGGCGGCTGCCTGCGGACCCGGCGCCGCCGGCCGAAAGGGGCGAGCGGGCGCTGAAGGACGGACTGGCTCCCTTCGCCCAGGCTCCTCCCTGAGCCGGATCGGCCGAGGAGCCGGGGCCAGGAGGCGGCTGGGACATCGCCCCGGCGGGGCTGGGCTGGTGACCTTGCTGGGATGCCGGCGCCGGTGCCCCCTCCCTCCAGCCAGCCGCGTAGCGGGGCTCTCACGCCGGGGACACAAAGGCGAGGCGGCCGGGCAGCGACCGGGGCCGGGCAGGCGGATTCTTAGTGCCCGAAGTGGGATCCCCCTGGGGCGGGCGGGAGAGAGAGAAGCCGGCGCCCGGCTGGATGCCCACACGCCCAGCGGGAGGCGGCCGCGGCTGGACTCGGGGCAGCGGGCTAGGTCCTCCTCCTTCCCCAGCACGGTTCTCCTTCTCCCGCTGGGAGCCGGGCGCCTGATGTTCACCGACCTTCGAGCCAAGCTCAGCCCCCCGAGAGGCCGAGACGGGGCTCTGAAAAGGAGCTACGGCGACCCGAACGAGATGGACGGTAAAGAGCGATGGGGCGGGCGCTGGCTGGCGGCACGCTGGGTCGAGCTGGGGATGCTCTTCCCAAGCCACAGGCGCCGCTTGCGAGGGGCAGGGGGTCGGCGGGGGGCAGAGCCCGGCCTGGCGCTGGCGTTGGCTCTGGCCCTCCGCGGGATGCACCAGGTGGGGGGCGGTTCGCAAGCTTTCGACCCGGGGTGTTTTCCCCCCTCCCCTCCTTTATCTGGGCCTCCAGACCTTGCAGGGGTCGGTCCCCTGTGCAGCAGGAGCCCCAGCAGAGCAGGCTTGTGGGGCGTGGGGGGGGGCGAGGTGTCTTGAGCTCCTTCCGGGCGCTCCTGGGTTTGCAAGACTGAACGAGGAGGAGTAAAGGCAGGATGAGACGGGGCGGGAGCTGGAAGCGCGGGCTGCGGCGGGCAGGGGCGTGAGTGCCAGGGAGGGAGGGAGGGAGGGGCCGGCGCTTAGCTCAGGCGTTAGGGTGCTTTGGTTGTGGGCGGGACCCCTCGGGGCGGGGGGGGGTCAGATAGAGAAGAGCGTGTCCGCTGGAGCGATACGGACCCGGGGGGAGAAAGACTTCAATCTCCTTGCGGTAGAAGGACAATGAGCGAAGCAATTGTCTAGGCTCGGTGCGCTGGGCTGGAAGGGCTTGCAGAGGACATCCCCGGGGACCGGTTTCCATGCACAGTGGTCTCTGGCTCCCCCCGGCTGTGCTTTCACCAGACTCTGGCATCGATCACATCCAGGCGGTGCAATTTCCAGGAGCTGCCCTACGCCCTAGGTGCTAAAAGTTCGCCTCCCCTTTACAGCCCCGAGGGGGATGTGGCAGCTTTATCTAACCATCCGCGCTCCTTTGTCTGGGCCCGTCTTGCTGCTCGGAGTCAGGCTTGTCCAGCGCATCTTCCACCTGCTGTCCCCATCTCTGCATCTCACCCTGGCTGACCATCCTTAAGACAAGTCACCCCTCTGTAACAATACTTCCCTCCCTCTCAGCGTGTTGAGAAGCTAAAGGAATGTTTGTAAAGTGCTTTGAAATCCTCAGATGAAAGGTCCCTGTAAGTGCCGATGAAGTGAGCTGTAGCTCAGGAAAGCTCATGCTGAAATAAATTGGTTAGTCTCTAAGGTGCCACAAGTACTCCTGTTCTTTTTGAGCATTATTTAGGACTCCACACAAGCCCAGGGGGCAAACACTGTTCTTTCAAAAGACTTTGATCCAGAGTCTAGATCAGACCTCCCTAATGCAGCAGCCTAATCATTGACTTCAGGCAAGGAAGGAACAAGACCTCTGGGCTAAATCCTGACACATACTGAGCACTAGCAAATCCCATGGTCCTGAGCGCCTGCCCTCATGTGACCCTCCATGCCTAGATTTTCTGTGGTCTTGCTCTGGGTGGAATGAAACACCAATTTTCCTGTCTGATTGTCAGGGCCTTTGAAATATTATACATACAGATACATTAAACAAAGGGCCTGTCACTCAAACCTAGCACAGGCAACTCATCCTGGTAGTGCCTGTCTCCACTTGGTGTGCCCGCGTACTCGCTGGGTGCCTTCTAGTTCTGGCCTGGTGGGAAATCTTCCAAAATTTGCAGCTAAATCAACCTTTGGGCCGGATTGCGCTCATTTCAGCGAGCACTCACTTACAGGCACAGTCCTGTTCTCTTTTGTCGTCATTCCTTGCATTTCACCTGGCTGCTAGCTTTAATTTTCAAACCAAAACCGGGAATTCAGTGCAGGAAACAGAATAAAGCAGGTGCAGTTTGTTTTCTTTCCTCTCTTCTTTCTTCCCCCTCAGATGAAATAGCAGGAAAAGGCATCGACCTGATGCCTCTTAATGTAAATTAATTTTAAAAGAACAAAATAATATTTACAATGTAAATATTCAATGAGAGAGCTTTAAAGGAATGGAAGCTTTAATGGAATATTGAGATTAGCATAAACCAAGGCTCTGATATACACTTAATGGGCCAAATGTGTCCATGGTGTAACTTCATTGACAATAGAAATGAATTGGTTCATTGGTGTCAAGCCTTCCCTTTAACGGCGTGTAATTTCACTGAAGCCAATGGGGATCTCTGGATACAGCGGAGGGTAGAATATGGCCCATATGTTGCACTGAAGCTTGGACTGGGGGTGGGAAGGCCATGTCATAATTTGGAGGCTTAGTGATCCAATGTGCTATGAACCACTCTTCTCAGGGGAACCACGTCACTCATGCCCTAGTGCCCAGGAATTTTTCCCAGAAAGTCGAGTAGAATTCTCCATCCTTTACAGCATTTTAAGATCAGCTGAAGGGGAAAAGTAAAATAACATGAAGGCCAATTTATTTTGTGGTTCACATGGTGAAGGTGTCGAAGGCCAGGCACGACCTCTGGGACCCATTCCATGAGTGAATAATGTGATTTATTCACCCAGTCCTCAGAAGCCCCAGAAGAACCTTGATTGTTTTTTCTTTCCCCGCTGCAAGCAATGAAGGAAATGCAACGGGCCTCTAGTTAATCAGAACCACAAATCCATCTTCTTGATTGCAGGCCAGTTTCTTGCACCATTAGGTGCTAAATGTCTCTTTCCCATGGGGAAGTTGGAAATGCAGCAAAATGACAAACCGTTTTTATTCGTCATAAAGCACACTTCTCTAAGGCTTTGTATGAAGCTTAGCATTTCTGTTACTGGGTATAATCTATTGTAGGTACTTATGTGACCCCCATCTCCATAGTATCTGTGCACATCGCAATCTTTACTCCTCACAGCACCCAATGAGATGAAAGTGCTATTATTGCCATCTTACAGATGGGGAACTGAGACCCCAAGAGACTAAGTGATTTGCTCAGAGTCCTAGAGGATGTTGTGGCTAAGTAGGAACTGATCCCAGGTTTCCCACAGCCTAGCCTAGCACGCTGACCACTGGACCATCCTTCTTCTCTGAGGAAGTTCAAGATTTTGGGGCCAAGATTTCCCAGAATGGTGTGTGAAAGAGACATTTGTGCACTCCTAACTTGCACACGCACGTATCACTTCACACAGCTGCAGTAACGGAGCACACAAAGTAGATGCAAAAGCTGTGCCCTTGTGTTTTGTATGAGTTTGAATTATTTGCTTTGGGCTTCTTTTTTTTTTTAAATAAGAGACTCTGAAATAAATTTATGGCCCCATATTTAGGCCTCCTATTGACATTTGTCCCAGGCTGTAAACCCCTGTGAAGTCTGGCATGGTTCAGAAGGACTGGCAATTGAGAGGGAGAAAAGGTGCATCAAAGGGCCTATCTCTGGAGGTGAAGGGAAGATTGGAATAGCAGGAGTGTCACAGGTCAAGACTGAGGTGCACTGGGTATGGAATAGCAGGGCTGCAGTACGTGTAAGACTTATATGCCTTTCCCCAGGTATTAGCTCTTCCTTTTCATGAACAGCAAAATCACTCACAAATTTTAAATGGAGCTTATTTCCCTGAGGCAAAATTCACCTCTCTGACTTGTGTGCTGATGTTCTGCTTTTCTAGATCTGCATAGGGAGAGCTGATCCCTACAGAGATCTGCCATTTTTATTTTGCACTTAACAGGCCCCTATTCCCATAGTATCTGAGTGCCTCTAATCTTTCAAGTATTTATCCTCACAACAGACCTGTGAGGTCAGGCAGATAAGGCCACTTTATAGCTGGGGACCTGAGGCTAAATGATTTGACCAAGGTCACATAGGAAATCTGTGGCATAGCAGGGAACTGAACCTGGGACTCTCCGAATATGTCTACACTGCAATAAAACACCTGTAGCTGGCCTGTGTCAGCTGACTGGGCGTCAGCTGTGGGGCTATAAAATTGCTGTGCAGACATCGAGGCCCCGGCTGGATCTTGGGCTCTGGGACCCTCTCCCTCCGCAGGGCTCCAGAGGCCGGGGGCTAGCCCACACCTGGATGTCTACATGCAACTTTATAGCCGAGCTCTGCAAGCCTGAGTCCCCTGACATGGGCCAGCCGCAGGTGTTTTATTGCACTGTGGACATATCCTTAGGTCCTAGGCTAGTGGTCTTACCACTGGGCAATCTTCCTCTTTGCCAGGTGATGGGAATCTTGCTCCTAATTTGTATGCTTTTGATATGAATTTGGCTGCTTGAAATTTCTCTCGCAAGGGGTGGTTGGTAACATCTGCAAGTGGGTTGGCAAAACTGTCATATCAAGTCTGTTCCAAGCAAATTTACAGCAGCAGGTAGCGATCAAACTGCATCGACTCAAAACACGAGGCACTCCCTTCCCTGAGACACTGCCACTGTCTGTCTGTCTCATTCAGTGCTTTCAGGTCCTGGACTGAACAGTGGGATCTATTGTGGAGGACTCAGAAATCATACATTTCCCTCTCCTTTCCTACCCAGTAGTAACTGGTGTTGCATGAGCTCAGGTAACATCCATTTTTCATCAACACGTAGCTAGTGTTAAAAGTGACTTGGGGGGCGGCGGGGGAATTGAAGCTGCTGTATATTTTGAATGAGTCGAGTGAACTCCATCTTCCTGTGCTGTTCCAAATGGCAGCTCCCAACCTTCTCCTAGCCAGACTCTCGCCTATTCTGAACCCAACCCAGATGCATGCACGGTGAAGAAGCTCCCTAGGCTGTGAATGTATATGCAATGCCTATGTTCCTATCACCCGTCACAGAAAGCAACAGCTGCTATAGGTTTCCATGCAGCAGGTTAGCCTTGTTCAGTCTCTCTGGCCTTTCCAGCATTAGGGGAGAGGCACTGAAATAAATCAAAGGGCAACGAGAGAAAACTAGGAAGCAGTGGGAGATCAGCCAGTGTTTTTCTGTTCAGAGCACACATGCTAACCTGTTAGTTCTTTGTCCCCAGACTTCACCTATCTTCTAGGAAGATTTAGAACAGGCTCATCTCCAGTCACTGCTGGTGGAGGCTGAAATACTAGAGGGATGGAATGAACCAGGTTAATAAAAAAATAACCCTTTTTCTTCCTGGTTCAACGCTGCTATTAATCACATCAGCTTGGCCTGGTAAGGAAAACGCAGCAAGA